TTTCATTGGAGCGAAGAAGGATGAGAGGTGAATTGATAGAGGTGTACAAGATGATGAGAGGCATAGGTAGAGTGGATAGTCAGAGACTTTTTTCCCAGGGCAGAAATGGCTATCACAAGGAGGCATAATTTTAAGGTGATTGGAGGAAGGTATAGGGGAGGTGTCAGAGGTAGGTTGTTCACACAGAGTGTGGTGGGCGTGTGGAATGCGCTCCCGGCAGTGGTAGTGGAGGCAGGGTACATTAGAGACATTTAAGCGACTCTTGGATAGGCACATGGATGACAGTATAATGTAGGGTATGCAGGGTAGACTGATCTTAGTAGGATAATAGGTCGGCACAACATCGTGGGCCGAAGGGCCTGTACTGTGCTGTACTGTTCTATGTTCAATGTTCTTAAACTCTCAGGTTGAGGAAAATGTTCGATATATCGAGTTTGTGCTGCCGGAGATCAACTATCCTGTACCTCATTCGCATGGGTGGCCCAATTGATTTAGAGAGTGTGGCCAGCCAACTATCTTTCCACGTTCCTTCAAGCTCAGATTCATAGCACAGAGGGTGAGCAGGCACTGAAATCAACGGTCATCCCTTTAATGTTAGCTTTTACCTTTTTTTTATCTTCTACTTATTCTATGAAGGTCCATAATGCTAAACATTTTAAGTTTGTTTCTTTTACTATTGTTGTATCTGAGTTTTTTCTACCTTTGTACCTAAGAGGATGGACAGTGGGAGCCTTTTTCCTCGGATGGTGATGGCTAGCACGAGGGGACATAGCTTTAAATTGAGGGGTGATAGATATAGGACAGATGTCAGAGGTAGGTTCTTTACTCAGAGAGTAGTAAGGGTGTGGAATGCCCTGCCTGCAAAAATAGTAGACTCGCCCACTTTAAGGGCATTGAAATGGTCATTGGATAAACATATGGATGATAATGGAATAGTTTAGGTTAGATGGGCTTCAGATTGGTTTCACCGGTCGGCGCAACATCGAGGGCCGAAGGGCCTGCACTGCGCTGTAATGTTCTATGTTCTTTGTTCTAAGATAGGGTCACGTATGGTGACATTAGACACTTTTCACTGTACTTCTGTACTTGAGAAGACATGACAATAAAATCTAAAATCATATGTAAGTAAATAATGAAAGGTCAATTGATTCCAGCATTAACGCTACCCATGACAATAGTACAGTTGGCGCAGGCAGTGACACGGGAGTGGGGTTTGTAATTTTTTTTAAAGCAGTGGGAAGGAAGAGTGTTTCTGTTGTCGAAGATTGCTCTTTGCTCATAGGCAGTCAATGCCAAGCTGGTTGCATCTGCCCATCCTTCCTGCCTTCTTAAGACCCACCCTGCCCCACACATTGCATCAGCCAAAAGCCCTCCTTCCTTCCCCTCCACCCAGACACATCTTGATCTGGGAGCCATCGAGCCTCCATTTGTGGGGCTGCCTGCAGTACCAGCAGTGACCATTATACCGCTGGTGGAGATCCCAGGACACCTTCCTATTGAGGAGCTGAAATCCCAACAGGAGGGTTCTTCGAGCCTGTCCCCGGAGGTTTACGGCTAAAGGATAAGCTACAAACCTGCCAGTGAGGCAACCACCAATAACTTCCCGCACCGCTGCTCTCATCAACTTTCTTACCTTGGAGCCATCGTAGGGAAATAGAATCAGGAAATAGATCGGCGATAATCAGCTTTGTGTTATTACTCCTTAACAGAACGTGGTCGTCACTGCAGAGCAAAGGCTGGCATCTGTCGTACATCCCTAATTGCCATTGCACAGTGTAGTTTACTGGGCCATTTCTGAGTGCCAGCCCAATTGCTGTGGGTCTGGAGCCACATCTAGGCCTGACTGGGTAAGGACGGCAGATTACCTACCCTAAAGGACGGTGTTGAACAAGGTGGGGATTTATAACCAGCACTGTTACTGAGACAAGCTTTCAATCACAAGTTTATTAATTGAATTGAAATGCCACCAACTGAATTCCTATAGGCCATTTTATGCACTGTGTCCATCATATAGTTAAAGCCATTTTTAACTGTCTGTATGGGAAGTGTAACACACAGAAAAATTTGCAGCCAATTACTCAAAAGACCACGGAAAATCCTTGAACAGATATTTAATTTATTTAAAGTGTTTAAAAATAAAGCATATATATGATTAAAATCAAGACTCCTTGGAATTTCTGGCTTCCTTCCTTCTGTTTTGAAGACCCTTGACATTTCTTCAATGAATGGAATCTTACAAAGTGAATGCCATTTGGCCCATTGTACTTGTGCTGGGTCTTTGAAAAAGCTATCTGATTAGTCCCAATCCTCTGTTGTTTCTACAAAGCCCTACAAATTGTGCCTTTTCCATGATATACACTATGGTACTTTTTACCTAGGTATTTTTGTACTTAAGGTAACATCAGGAATGGCGACATTGTACACTTTTCACTGTACCCATGTATTTCTGTACTTGAGTACACGTGACAAGAAAATCTAATTCTTAAAAAAAATTCCAAGTATTCAGTTTGAATTGCAAGTTACTTTTGAAACTGCTTTCACCGTTCTTCCAGGCAGTGCATTCCAGGTCATAACAACCGACTGTGTAAAGGAACTCTCTTCAATTCCTTCATCCACTCCGCACCACCCCCCCAACCAAAACTCCATTTCATTTGCGAATAAAGTGCCCAGATTCATAGAATTCAACTTTACAATTTACCACCCGGGATTTGAACTCAAAACCGTCCAAGTTCATAACCGCTGACTCTGATGGACCACTTTGGGTCGTGAGAGGAATGGTGGCAGACTCCCAGTGGTTGGAGGCAGCAGCAGAAAGGACGTCTTCATCCAGGGCTGGCAGCGGCAGCAAAGCTCCTCCAGCGATTAGAGGCGATGGTGGCGGCAGACTGTTCAAGATGGCGGCACTGGCAAGGCAATATCTCAGAGCAGGGTGGCCGGAGCAGGAATTTTGGTGCAGCGGCATCGGCCTGTGCTGGCAGCGGAGCCAAGAGCTCCTGGTTACAGTAGGGCCCAGTCCAGGGACTCCAGCCATCATTGGGGACAGTAGTGGAGCCAGGGAGTCCTAGTTGTGGGGATAAGTTGGGGGCAGTGTCAAGGGAACTTGACCCTCTCTTCACGTCCCGTCTGAAAGAGTGGGCAAAGTCAGAAGTCACGCAACACCAGGTTACAGTCCAACCGGTTTATTTGAAATCACAAGCTTTTGGAGCCCAGCCCCTCCATCAGGTGACGAAGGGGCAATGCTCCAAAAGCTTGTGATTTCAAATAAACCCGTTGGACTGTAACCTGGTGTTGTGTGATTTCTGACTTTGTCCATCCCCAGTCCAACACCGGCACCTCTACGTTATCCAAAAGAATAAATGAGCTTTAGACGGTATTTAAACCCATGCTGTCCTCATCCCGGCAGTGTTTGTTAGGGGCAGGGTCAAGGGAACTTCACGAATAGAGTGAGCTTTACTCGGTATTCAGCCTTGTGCTGTTCCTGTGCCGGGAGTGTTTGGTAGAGATGGGGTCGAGTGGCTTTCCTTTCACGTTAAAAGAGGGTGAGGGATAAATATTGGCCTGGATGATCCAAAGTGTGGCAGTCACAATCAGATTGCCACCTCTGCCCTTATGTTTATTTTTTGTCTTCAGGACAGAGTTCCACACTTTTAGCCAAGAATTCCAATGGCAGCTCCTTTGGAAATTTGCAGGGCAGCTAAGATCAACATAGTTGCCCCATAGTGCAGGAACATTGGGCGGGAGGGGGAGAGTTTGGGACTTGAACCATGCTCGCTAACGCAGCAATCCGTGCGCTGTTCTCTGAGATTTAAACATTCCAGTAGCAGGAGGAGAGCCACTTTGACAGCTACACTAAGACGGTAACTAAGTGTGGGGGTCAGGGTTGCAATTGGTTCAGGGGTTAGGGTGTAAAGTCCAGCAAGAGGTTGAGTGTCAAGTGCTGAGGATTCAGAGGGCAATGGCAAGGATGGGGGTGTGGAGAATGCAGTGTCGGATCTTAGGGTTAGGTAGAATCATGTTGACTTTGGGGAGGTTACTGACCAGGAGCAGTTGTCGGGCTAGGTTCCAGGATGTGTAGAGGGTCAGAGGAGGTGTAAGTTGCAGTGGGGTGAGTTGTAAGTTTAACAGTTACCTAGGATTTAGTCTTGGTTTTTTTTTTAATCCTCTAGCTTTTCCTGGGTAACTATTAGCTTACCAGAAAGTGGGACTCTCCAATTGCTCAGACCTTGATGGATTCCTTCGGAGGGTCCCAAACACAGAAGAGTTGCCCATTGGTATCTTCAGTTTCCTGGGAATTCCCACAGGGTCAAGGATTCCACAAGGTCCCAACACGCAATTCCAATCTGTGCTGGCCCGACACCTATCTGACTTCCGGAATATCCGGACTATTGACCAAGACACGGGTGAGAATGCTTGCTGTCCTTCACAGTATGGGTCATGCAGTTAAGGCTGGGCAACAGTTGTTGTCCTTTGCCATGAAGTGATGGCCACATCCCTCGAAAGAATGGGATCTATTGCACACACCCCTGCCCCCCTCAGAGAGGCAGGCACAGCTCCATCTGGAAGATAACACTTCCTACAAGGCAGCACTCCCTCAGTACTGCACTAGAGTGTCAGCTGTGATGTTTGTACTCAAGAATAGTTGTGGAGCTGCAGCTTCTGTGTGTGGGACAATTGACTCGGAGATAGGAATGCAGTAAAACAAGCCACAATGGACATAATCCTCACAGTGGGACTTTGAACGCCTGACTATGTAGTTTTCTCCTGAACTGAAAGTCTCTGGCTAATTCTCCTTGTGAGCAATGCCTTGTGACAGTATATAATCTTTTGGCAACTGGCAGTAAATGGTTTTTCCTCAGTGACTGGGTGGGTACTAGCAGAATTAAAGTTGAAAAGATGCAACTGGAAGGAGCTCGCAAAAAAGAATATTTAATTGCACCTCATTTCAAAGTTGTTCCAATCTAATTGAAACCCACTGGGCTTTGTTCTGTCCTTTCTTTCAGCGGTGCAAAGAACATGGCATATCTAACGGTAGACCAGATGACAGAGTTCATCAATTCCAAGCAGAGAGACCCACGTTTGAATGAGATCCTGTACCCTCCAGTGAAACCGGAACAAGTGCAGCTGCTCATTGAGAAATACGAACCGAACTCCACACTTGCGAAGAGAGGTTGGTTTAATTTTTGGGGGTTTATTCACACGATTGCCTGCTCGTAACATTGCACAAGGACGTGCTTTATTGGGATTTCCATCCTGTCAGTGGATTGACACTGCAGTGGTAATACAGAATTTGGAAATGATGTTTATCAATGTATGGCAATATAGAACAAATTGGCGTCAAAAGGCTCAGTATCCCCAATCAGGACAACAAAGCCAGGTTAGTTATTAACATGAGATAGTAGGAACTGCAGATGCTGGAGAATCTGAGATAACAAGTTGTAGAGCTGGATGAACACAGCAGGCCAAGCAGCATCAGAGGAGCAGGAAGGCTGACGTTTCAGGCCTAGACCCTTCTAGACCTTTGATTCCCTTACTGATAAAAAGTCTGTCTCTCTCAGTCTTGAATACACCTACCTACCCAGCCTGTACAACCCAATGTAATTGTTCTTTGTTCTGTGATATGATGCACCCAAAGCACATTTACACGTCGCTCTATGTCATATTTGCAAAGAAAGTTAATCATATCGCAGGGTCAGTTGTAGGGTCTCACTGTCTAAAAGGAGGGGATTATTTATTTAAGATAGCAATGAGGCCATTGTTTCTTTCAGAAGTTTGCAAGTCTTTTGGACCTCTCCATGAGGCAGTGGAAGCTGAGTCTTGAATAATTGAAGGCAGAAGTAAACAGATTCTTGATGAGTAAAGCCAAGTTGAGATTGCTGACCTGAGTTGGGGATTTAAAGTAGGTATCCCTAGTTCAACATGCTTTCCACATACATCAAAAAGTGAGTGCATTGATCCAGGCCTTTGACTCTGGACTGGAGCCATACACGATCAGTATAAGAGGAGTTCTCATTTCTGGTCAGGGAATATTATTTAAATGGAGAAAGACTGCAGAACGCTTTAGTACAGAAGGTTCATGATTCACAAAAAGCTGACATCTAAGTTCAATGGGTAATAGGGAAGGCAAATGGAAAGTTGGCCTGTTTTTCAAAGGGAAGGGATTACAAAGTAGAATGTTGTTGGAATACTGTGAACAGTTCTGGACCCTTTATCTAAGGAAACATTGGAGGCAGTCCAGAGAAGGTTCAACAGGTTAATTCTGCATAATGGAAGGATTTTCTTACGAGGGGAGTTGGGCTTGCACTCATTGGAGTTCAGGAGAATGAGAGGCAACCTTATAGCAACATACAAGATTCTTAGGGGCCTTGAGGGTGTAGATGCAGAAAGCTTATGTGCCCTTGTGCGAGCACCGAGAACTGGAGGGCACCATCTCAGAATAAAATATTGCACATTTAAGGCAGAGGTGAGAAGGAGGTTTTCCCTCAGAGGGTAATGAATCTGTGGGATTCTTTACTACAGTGGGCCATAGAGCATGGGTAGTTGAGTGTATTCAAGGCTGGGAGAGACAGCTCTCTTCCAACCTCTTCCATCAGGCAGGAGATACAGAAGCTTGAACACGCACCAACAGGCTCAAGAACAGTTTCCTCACTGCCATTATGAGATTGCTAAACGGACCTCTCTAATTTCAAATCTAATGTTTATCTTGCTTTTGTGAGGCCGTAACCTTGTATGCCTCGCTCTGTCTAAGCCCTCTGTGATCTAGATGTCCTTGTTTGTTATGATCTCCCTGTACTTCATGCAAAACAAAACTTTTCACTGTACTGAGGTTATTGTGACAGCAATAAATCAAATCAAATCAAATTTTAATCAGTAAGGGAATTAAGGGTTATGGAGAAAAGGCAAGAAAGTGGAGTTGATGATTATCATATCAACCATGATCTCTTAGAGTGACAGAGTGGACTCGATGGGTTGAATGGTCTACATCTGCTCCTACCTCAGAAAATTAACCTGAGATTCATAACCTCGCTTTAAGGTTGCCTCAAACTGTGTTTTGCGCCCTTTAGGTGCTATGTTTACAATGTCTTCTTGAACTGCCAACTTTTATGGAACTGTCAGTCATGTCGAAACTATTGATCAGATTTCTGTGGCTTGGATTGACCAGTTCTGGGAGTTGTAGGCCTCCCAGCTTATGATAACAGCTGTCTATTGAAATGCTGTTAGTGATGCTGAGGAGAGGAGAAAATTGTAATCAGGAGTGACTTGCTAAAGAGGGAAGCCAAAATCAAGGGAAGGACTTACTGAAAGAGTGAGAGAATTCGATGAACGCAGAGACTTTCAAACTGAAGAGTTGGAGACAATTAGATAGTAAGAGAAAGAAGAGAACTCTGAAGAAACGTACAGGTCTGGCAGCATCTGTGGAGAGAAAAACTGAATTAAGGTTTGAGTCCTGTGTGACTGTTCTTCGGAATAGCTGTGGACTTGAAACATTAACTCTGTTTCTAGCACCGCACACCCCCCAACCCACCCACTAGCAGTTGCTCAGACCTACTGAGATTCTCCAGCTGTTTGCTCTGTTAGTTTCAGATCTCAAGCATCCACAGTATTTTGCTTTTACAGAGAGATGGACACAAAGCCTCAGGTGGTCCTCTACAACTAGTGGCAAATGTGTTTGTAAACTTGTTTGATCAATGACTAAAATCACAGGCAGTTTTAGGGATGCTTTTTCATGGCTACAGCCCAGTGTCGACAACATAATGCTCTTCCGATCTGCCCTTCACCCCCACTCTTCAAACCACCCCCCCAACTTCCCCCCAAGTCTCCCAGATATTGAATGGAATTTCATCCCTGGCTTCCTTTACAACCCACCTGTACAGATCTTTGGCATTGTGTAAAATAAGCACTTGGATTTTAACTGTTGAGGTGCATGGACTATGTGACAAGGGTCACCATAACCAACTGGAAACTTTCTTCACCCTTGAGTTCTTGAAAAAAAAATTCAGTGGACCTCTGATTTATTATCGCCTGCTCCTCGGGAGCCAGCCATTCAGAGAAAGATGTGCACTCCAATGAAACTCGCAGGATTTGTTAAAAGGGGATTGAGCTCGGATCAGGCAGTTACCCCAGCATTAACATACCGTGGTGTAACACAAATTCCAGTATAACGGTGGTGTATTTACTAACTTGCTGTGAAATTAGTTGCTTTAAGGCTTGGGATGGCTGAGCGGTGAACGTTTTCCTCTGATTGCCCTGTCACAGTGATAGCCTATGGTCAGTGGAAGTATCACCCAGCCCAGCTTGTGATAAATTTGTTGGCAATTTACCAATTTGTTTGATGTTAACAAAAGAAACAAATGCACCATATTAAAACAGAGCAGCAGCTAGGTCCTCCTGTCTGACAAGACCTCAAGCGACCTGGGGCTGTAGATCTTTGTGCCTTGGTGAAGTTTAATCAGGAGTATTGAGGTTATTGAGTGCTTCAGTAAACCACATTTCTGAAAGCAGCTTGAAAGAAAGGATGAAAATTTGTGTTCAACTTCCAAAATATCACCAGAGATATGAATTATTGAGTACTGCGCAGCCCACTGCAGCTCAGGGCGAGCTGTATTATTGAGGAAAGTAGCAAATATCTCATCAAAAAAACTTGGGCTCTTCTCCAGGCTCCAATATATTAATCAAAATTCAAAATAATTGAGTATATTTACACTTTAGTTTCCAGCTGAGTCCCATTTGCACACAAACTCTTGGATTTGCAGACATTCAGAATAGAGTGACCTGTCAACATATGCAGGGGAAAGCTTCATTCAATTTGAACTGACAAGTTGCATTTCCCAGAAGATTTCTCATGGCGATAATAATTTGTTGATAGACATCTCAAACAGCAACATCGAGCCTCTGGCAGTCTGAATATTCTCCAGGGCTTGAACTGGCTGAATTTGGAGCAGGGAATGGGACTGTTGAAGAAATTAAATGAAACATTAGCTGCTGGCAAAAGAAGGCAATCAACTGCTAATTTCACTGGACATTTCTCAACCCCCCAACAAACTGAGATCTGTGCAGATCGCAGCAGCGAGAACAAGGGACAAAAGAAATTGCCAGCAAGAGGCTTGGTCAGTGCTCATGTTCAGGTTCCATCGCAGAGATACAGGGCAGGAGTAGCGATACCTGTCAACAGGGAAAGGGAATGGAGTCAATTCCTTTCAATGCCTGACACAGTCCAACTCAAATAACCCCTCCCTGCCATTCCTTTCGATGACTGACACAGTCCCACTTAAATAACCCCTCTCTGCCATTCCTTTCGATGACTGACACAGTCCCACTCAAATACCCCCTCTCTGCCATTCCTTTCGATGACTGACGCAGTCCCACTCAAATACCCCCTCTCTGCCATTCCTTTCGATGACTGACACAGTCCCACTCAAATACCCCCTCTCTGCCATTCCTTTCGATGACTGACGCAGTCCCACTCAAATACCCCATCTCTGCCATTTGGTCCAGGGCAGTGCTTCCAAAACCTTTTTCATTTTAATATCATGGATTTTGCATGACGAGAGTGAACATTTGTTGAGGGGGTGTTGTTGGTGAGAATCATTGATTGAAAGGTAACACGGGGAGGAGGAACTGCGTTTGAGCTTTTGCATTGCATAAAATATTTGATTGGCACATTCATTTTTCAATTTAAAAAAACAACATTTCATCTTTTTAGCTGCAGGAATTAAAGATCTGACCATTACGCCATGGATACCATCAGATAAAGCTTGGGGTTAGCACTCTGTACAAGCTCCATAGCCATCATCGCTCGCTCAGGGCTTGTTACCTCGCTGGGGTCACGACCCATAGTTTAGGAAACCCAGGTCAAGAGCCCACCTCCAGAAGGAGAAACCAGTAAAACACATCAATGATGCATACTGATCCAACTTGTTTTGCATACTTTAGTGCTCCAGTATGACCAGTACTTTCATTTCCAAGTATCACTATTTTGTTTTACTGGCTTTTTCCTCCCTCTGGCAAAACCATTGTTACAAATCCACATGCTATGACATAAACCAGATCCGAGTGGCAATTTTCAGGTGCAACATTTGGCCCTTCTGTACCAGGTATTTACTGGCCTAATCAGTGGGCCCTTCTGGTTAATATGACAGACCATTACGAAAAGGTCCTCACGTTTTATGT